CTGCAATTAAACAGCCCCTTATCCAAAGCCTCATGAGCCTAAGTCAACTGACTTGGGCCTGTTGCAGGTTTTTAATTGCATTGTAGAAGTACCCTCCGACTACATGTCCCAGACCTGAAGAAGAGCTCTGTGTAAGCTTATCTCTCTCACCAACAGAAGTTGGTCCAATAAAAGATATTACATCACCCACCTTGTCTCTCTAATATTCTGGGACCAACACGGCTACAAAAACACTGCATTCAGAATAATTGGCATAGAAATTGCTAATGTTAAAACTCAGAACTGTTGGTGGAATGCAATAGCTAAGTGTGGGGGCAAAACAAATGCAAAGCCAAAATGAGAAAAAATAATTAAATAAAAAAATAGAGATGCTGGGCCAGTTCTGAGTTTTAACATTAACCGTTTGTTCCTTGTATGCATATGTAGGATCTAACAGAAGTGAGTAAAACTCTCATTGTGAAACCCCAAACCATATAAAACCCATCTGGATTGGCATTTCATCATAAATGAGAATCATCCTAGATTTGACAGAAGGTTTGTGGGGGTTCTTCACCCTTTCACAGAATCCTGGAGCAATTCAACAGTCTGTGGAAACCACGCAAACCTCATCAGTTTTGTTTGAATTTCCTATCAGATTTGGAATTCAAGGGTATCACAAACTCAACCCAAAACTTAGGAGATATAAACGACATGAATCAGTACTGAAAAAAAATACTTTACATGAACCCCTGTATACCAAAACCACTGAGCTCTGCAGAGCTCTAATATCAATAAAAGTATCACCACCCCTTTTCTCCTCATACACAATGGTAGATTTTACAATACATGTAGTAATCTATGCCAGCAGAAGTGAGATTAGAATCAGGCCTAAAATGTGAAAGCTCTTTTCTGAAAGCTTTATAATATTTAGGAACAAAACATGAAAAAGCAGAAAGAATGGTTTTGTGGTTAATTCAAAGAAATAGGAGCCGCAAGATCTGGGTGGTATTGCAGGATCTGCCACACACTTCCCTGGGTGGCCTTGTGCAAATCACTTAGTTGCTCTGGGTCCCAGATTCTCTCTCTGTAAAATGTGGTTAGTACCACAGTTGTATTGTCAGGCTCAAGTCAATAATATTAGTAAATTGCTTTGAGATCCTAAGAAGGAAGGTGCTATACTATATAAATACAATTCCGCTCTGCAATGACAGATCATTCTGAAATCCGCTTTCCATTACATTATCCAAGAAATATGAATTCTGTCAAGCTTCTTGCGTTATTTAATGAACATAGCACTTAAACTGAATTCTGACCTTATCTTGATTTATGGTTCACCAGCATCCCAAAGCTTAATCATGTAACCACTATATGCATTCATTATACGCTTCCTTATCAAAAGCACATTCTGAATTCTTGAGTAATTTGTGAAAATTATAGCTATCAACTACAAATAATATATTGCCAGCTTGTTATGTCAGTGTGAGCAGCTGCTCAGTCGCAGCATAACACAAGGTGACTCCATATCTAAAGAAAAACACAATACAGCATTCTGACAGGGTATTTAACTAAATGTTTCCCAGCCCTCCCTTCTCTCCCCTGCCCCCATGCCAAGAGCAAGGACCTAAAGGCTGACAGAAAGGGAGCAATCTAGTAAATATTCAGTTCCAGAATCTAAATTATTCCCTCCTGCCTGGTGGATCAATCAAGTTTGGCCAACGTGGCTACTTCTTATCGGAGGGTCAACTGTCCCTAAAGCCACCACTCTAATCCCTGCTCTCTTTTATTTCCTAATTGCTCTCATCAGGCCCCTGTTCTCCTGGAAGACCTTAAGCAGCCTTTCCTAGAGGTCAATATCTTCATGCTAGACAAGTAAAACAAGACATAGTGGGGCAGGTTCTCTTTCTTAATTCCAGGGGAAAACTTTAACTTGTTCACCACCCAGTCACGTTTGGGATTTGTCCATTACAATCCTTTGCAGTCAGCATTAAAATAACTCACAGAAAACTATTATGGGGAACTGACTTTGATAAATATGTTTATTACCATCCAGACTCTCTCAAATTGTTTAAGGCCTCAATGGGGTCAGTATTCTCAGATAAGTCTTTGATTACTCAGCTCTTTACCCTATCCTCAGAAAAACATATCAAGCTGATGAAGCTGTTTCTAAGAGGAGGAACACCCTAGTTTAGACCATTAAGTATTTATATGTGAATTTTAGAAATTGTCTCAATCCCCTGCAACTTCAAGTGTAGGTGTCACTTTTAATAGGAATTTCTGTATTTAGAAATGAGAAAAAAAATACTGAAAAAACTCAACACCAAACACAAATCTTTATTTTTTACCTGAACACTGACTACAATAACTAAAGATGTTGCAACTGTGACAGCAAAAGACTGGTAGTCAGCAATATGTTTTCCATCTTCACCAGCTGTGTTATAAAATGCTCCATAAGGGATGAAGAAAAGGGCAAAAGAGGTGTAGACTCCATGTGCTATGCAGATGAAAAATTTGCGTTTATTGAATAGTAGATTTAGTTGCCCAGGTTCATAGAGTTTTGCATAATCCATGCTATTCTGCTCATTCACATCCTGTAACAAATCCATTTGGATAACATGTTACTTTAATAGTGTCAGAAAATATTAAAGTTTGTATGCCACAGAGTGAGTAAAATTCCTGTGCCTTTAATAAAGGGCAAAAGGAATTTCCGTTGATTACAGTACCTTCTAAGAACTGAAGTGTGCTTAGAGCTAGGGAAGAAGATTCTCTTTCCCGCTCTGTCCCACTAATGCTACAAAGGAGATGGAAAATGACCATATCGGCCCTGATGGGGGCTCCACTGACATGGGGGAGTCTCCAACAAACATGCAGCCAGCATAGTTGGCTTCTATGCTATGTCCTCACTTCCCTGATCTTGGTGTAGTGAGCAACAGGAGCAGGGAAGGGTTGTAGACAGAACACAGTGCTCTCCAGCAATCGCCAGATTGGGGGACAGTCTATTGCTGAGGCTAAGGCTTAGGCTTGTGCAGAACCAGTCAAAGAATCATGAGCCCACAGCCAGTGTCTTAAAGGACTACTGCCTGATCCTGGAGCCATTTGGGGGCTAGTTCCCAGCATAAATTAGAATAATCTGAGGGGCAGATAAATAAAGGGGATTTACTTATACATTATTTGCATATAAAACTGACTTGTTAATGATGCTATCAATGCCATTTATTGCTTCCATTTTAGACATTTAAGTCATGCTATAAATAAGATAAAATTGTACCTGGTCAAACAAACCCATAGCTAGTACAGGCAGCGAAGCATAGACAATGTTGAAGAGGGTAATAAACCACTGGTCATAAACAGTCTGAAAAGAAGATGCAGTTGATAAAGTGAACAAGTGTCATTTTAAAAACTTTTCACTATTATTATTTGGCACAACAGAAAACACAACAGGACGCTTTACATCTGCTCCCCATGAACAGGATAACTGAATTTTGAAAATAGGTAAAATAATGACTATCTAAGAGTTTAGTGATTTGCTTTCTATGCAAGGGGTTATCCAATAGTATTTCATACCATACTTAATTATGAAAAAAGGGATAGCTGGCAAATCCACAATGTTTAATAAGCTGCTTGGTTAATGCATTTTTCATCTACCCCAGAAAAAGATGTGAGTTTATACCCAATCTGGAAATGGCAGAGTGACACAAAGGGAGGATTATTGAATAGCAGTTTCAAAATTCCAGACAATCTCATATTTTTTACTACACATTTGTAGCACACTTGGCTCCTTAACAGGGTTGATGCATGTGATATGGGGAAGGGATCTGGCCATCCCACATTCAAGTCAACTTCTCTTGTAACCCTTGAGCAGGCTGGGTGCATCTTAGCTCATCAAGCAGGAAGGATGTCTGGTTCCAACCAAGGAAAAATGGCCAAGTCTGAATTAAAGGTGAAAGTTTGAAGATTCTCTACAAGGATCAATTTGGATTTATGCCCGATCCTTCCTAGCAACATGAAAACACAAGTCCCCATTGCTAAGTTTATGCAAACAATAATTTGCAAATCCATTTAGTGATGAAGGCCTTTTTCTCAGCACCCCTCGTTTTAAAGTTGCACTTTATTTATACCACTTTTTAGTTTCCTTTACATGAAAGTTATAAAGCTATTTTTATTATAATAAGTCTGTCTTGCAGAAAACACATTATAGAATAAATAAGAGGTGCTCTTCTCCATCTGTTCTTTATTTGTGCAATTAGCAGAAATATACTGGAGAAACGCAGAAAGAATTGAATATACTTGAATATACAGAGCTCCTTTCTGCAATTTTAGCCAGCCACTATATCTGCTAAGAGCTTTGGATAACTATTTCACAGGTAATCAAAACCTTTGAGGTTATCAAAACCTTTGAGACTAGTCTAGCAGTCACATGCTATTTTCATATTTTCAACTGTGACTTGTTTATATTGTTTGGCATAATACAAGGTTTTTTTTTTATATTCATGGACAGGATAATTGTTTCCATATTCTTTTTAAAAAGCTTTCCCTTAAATCCCTGTAGTGTTGACAATGGCATATTGTCATCAGATAGTCTCATTTCTCAAGCAAACAATGCCAGTAGTTGCAACTGGTTTAATTCATAACTTTCCTAAATAAGGCCCCAAGAAATGTTCTGGCACAAGCACTTAAAAATGCGTGTCTTCACTGATATCCAAGAGTCCACATATGTGTACACAAAAGTGTAGAAGGTTGCAAGAGCACAACACAGAAGCAGTTGCCTTAAACTTATGCAACCTGTGTGGGCACTGGAACCCCACATGTGGAGCCTGATTCAACTCCCACTGAGGTCTATGATAGACTGTCTATTGACTTCAGTGGTAGCTTGATCAGGCCCCAAAAGTACACACCCATCTCCTGATTCCCTGTCTATAGTCTTGTCAGACTCTAGTGCCAACGGGCCGTGGCAGAGATTAAGCTCTCTAATCTATGTATCTATTTCAGGTACTTATATGGCCTCCATTACTATGATATCTAAGCACCTCAGTTTTTGCTGTACTTCTCTTTAAAATATCCCTGTGAGATAGTGTTATATCTTTGCTCTTTACATAACATTAAGACTATGAGGAAACTAAACAGACATGGCTGGGTTCCAACTAACCATATTCTCTAGTACACAAACATATAAGACCTGGCTACATATATAAACTGCTACTCTGTGGGGTTCTGGTGGCTTCTGAAATAGAGACTGGAAAGCCCACTAGAGGGCTCCCAAACTATTTAAAGGGATACTACCCACTCCCCATTCAGTAGGGATTTACTATTATCCCCATTCTAGAGATGGAGAACTGAGACCTTGCTCTGGGCTTGGGCAATTGTTCTCTGGCTCTCCTTCTAGCTTCAAGTTCACGTACGGGGGTTACTGGAGGCAACAGAGATTCAAATGTATGTGAGAGGAGAAGAAAGTTTATCACAACTTCAGTTGCAGGCAGGAGGTAGTGCTGGGGATGTGTGTGTTGTGGGGATGTAGCTGTAGGAGGACCCAGTCATAAGCGTGAGATATACTGGATAGGGTTCTGCATGTTACTTCATCATGCGGGGCTCAATCAGGCTGTTGGATTTCCATTAATATCAACTAAATATCGAGGTCCTAAAATTGAGACGGCCCTAAAAAATGTGTTCAGAGGAAACTTTCCAATGAAGTTTTTTTTTATAATGATTCACAAACAAAACTGGACTTTGAATGGAAACCCATGTTTAAAGAAGATAAGAAATGTTGACATTAAAGAATTATAATGTTTTCCATAACTCCCGCCCTTCTAACCGATTAAAGGGTAGAAGGAGGATAACATACTGACTTATAACACTGAAATATAAAATGAAGAATTTCTAATGGTTAGATGAAGAGCTTTGATAGATATATTTTTTTAATGATTTGTAATTATGGACAGTGAAGGAGTACAGCTGAAGTAACACTTAGGCCAAGGCCTTGCTGGCATAAGTGTTTTTTTTCCAATTCTTCTTTTACATAGAATTGCTAATCTATTAAAAATGATGATATTGCTGACAAGACAATGCTGTGCTGGAAGTTTTGGGGTGAAAACACACAAATCTGTAACACCAAGAAGCCTTTTTTACTGGGAGACCTAGGGCAAGGTGACACAAAAAATACCATGACACTGAAACTGCAAAACGAGCAGAAAAAAATGCAGAAGTTGGGTAACTGAAGCTTGCACATGTATAATGTGTCGGTAACCTAAAACTCAAAGGGTTGATGTGTTAAGAGCCAATTTGATAAAGATTACTTAATCTGTAATGTATAAATGTATACAAGACCTAAGTGAACATAGGCCTACATTGGAGAAACACCGGACCAGAAACTGAAGGACTGGACTGAAGGACTAGACCAACAGATCAGGGGAGATGACAATCATCAGGAAGTATTGGAGGATTTCCCAGTGCCCTGAAATGTGGTAACTCAGGCCCTTTACCAATTACATTTGTAATTGTCTGTTATAAATGTATGTTCAGGCACTATCAGTCACAATAACTCTGTCTGAAATTGCATAAATAAAGGCAGAAATTGATTAAGCCTAAATTGGGTGTGCTTGTGACTCAGAGTTCCAACTTTTACTCCCAACAAAATCTAGAACTTTCTCTATCGCTGATAAGTACATATCTCAACATCTGAGGCCTAGTTCAGTCACACCAGAGTATCTAAGAGCTGATATAGACTATTGTACAAAGCTCAACTGCCTGGAATTTGGGCTGGATAACATCCCATGAGAATGCCTGATTCCACAGGATTGTTGTTTCTTTCTAGTTATAGCTGAGCCAGAACATGGTATTTCCTTATTTATACCTCTGTTTTCAGACAAAACCAAGATCTGCAGTAGCACACAGAGTTTGAGGGTGAAGGTGAGAGCCATTTGTTTTATCTGATCCAGTTTGCCCATCCCTCTTGCACATAGAGGTAGTTGGAACTTTTTGACCATTTTTTTTCTCAGAAAATAACAATTCATCAAAATTGAAACTTTGTCAGGAAGGTTTCTCAGGTCCAGGATGGAATATCTGCTTGAGAGAGTAAGAGACACTCACACCCAGAGTTGGGACACTCACTTGGGATGTGGAAGATCCAGGTTCCATTTCTCACTTCAAATCAGTCAGAGCACAGACTTGAACCTGAATCTTCCACATCCCAGATGCATGCTGTCATCTGGGAGCTATTGGCTATTCTCTTTCTCTCCCTCCCTCTCTTCTAATTTGTGAAAGGTTTATTTTTGTTATGATACAGAATGAAACCAAATGTCAAAACATTGACATTTTTTACAAAATGGAATTCTTGTTTCCCAGAGAGCATTAACTGCATCCTTTCCCATAATAAGTAGCTTTGGGAATAGGGGAAATTCAGAATTTCACACTGAATAGGTCTTGCATAAGAGTCTCCAGGGACTGTTTGCAAACTCATAAACAGGAACCAAATCACTCACACTTTAAAGTAGATTGAAAGTAAAATACAATGAGTTACAATCCACCAGCAAAATGACACCACCATCCACTGCTGTCACTAAGTCTGCATCACAAATCATGGAGTCACTTAAAAGAACATCTCACAGACCCAGATGCCAGAGGAACATATTCCAGAAATTCACATCTGTGACATGCAGCCCACCTGCCATTCACCTTGGCTGGGCCAGACGGAGCATATAATCAAAGAGCAACAGTTAGTGATCAAATTCAGCAATGGCAGCAATAATTAAAGGCAACCTAAGGTAGTAAAGAATTACAACACATCTCTTTATGTAATTATAAGGCTGTTTTAAAGTCAACATTGCATCTAGAAAAGCCTAATCTGTCTATATCTGTCCAAGAGTTTTCAGCTGCGCAGTGTAGGTAACTGTAAATGCACATGAAAGAAGATATAGATGTTCAGATTTTTTTTAGGTCCTACTCTAGATATATTAGCTCTTCAAATGAAGCAAAGAATGGAAGGAGACAAAAACCAGGGAGAATACTACAGAGATTTTCATATAAAATCGGACTGTGGATGAAATCCTGCACCCATTCCAGTCAGTAGTTTTGCTACTGACTTCAAAAGGGCCAGCATTTCACCCTATGTTTTCATTAAAAGAAAACTCAAAACTCCAATAGAGAAAAATATATTCTCTTCTCCTAATAAGTGTATATATTTCTCTTCAGTGGGGAATGGATAGACTGGCACATTTATGCTACACAAGGAGTGTCCAAAAATTGTTACTGTAATTGGTTAATCTATTGTATCATGTAACTATAGGTCAAAATTTTCCAGTTTGAGTGCCTACAATTACATTCCTAAATCTACAGGTAGGCACCAAGGTATATGTGTCC